TTTGGTCCCATAACTTAAATGACATTAGACCGATTGCCCTCATAGAGATGAGCAGAAAAATCTTTACCAAAATTCTCAACAAACGATTATCATCAATAATAGCTGAGTTTGACATTCTATTACCATCCAACTTTGTTGGCATAAAAGATCAAAGTACCCTTGAACCAATAGCCATCATCAGATCACTTATCAACACCTTCACAAATCATAACAAAAAATATTGACTGGTCTTATTTGATATTTCAAAGGCATATGATTCAGTCAACCTTAAGAGCCTTGAGTCTGCCATGAAGAGAATAAAATTATCCACAAAATTTATCAACATCATTATAAAACTATTAATGAATCATTACTTCAATTCATCTCGTACTACAACTTGACCTATCCCATATCAGTCTCACAAGGTCTGGACCAAGGCGAAACCATAGTACCTTTGTTATGGGTCATCTTTTATGATCCAGTCATTTCAAAGATACAAAAAATCCTACCATACAACAACAATATCTTCGCTTACGTTGACGATGTCACAATTTTTACACAAACGTTAGCAACACTACAGAAAGCAACTGACATATTCACATCATTCCTCAAAATGAATTATATAACTTGCAACAAAGCAAAAACTGACCTAATAACAAATCACTCCTAGAAAAGCAACAAACACAAACAAAATCTAAAAGTAGAGGACACAGAGATTACTCCCAAACCATTTGAACAAGATATTAAATATCTAGGAATCTACTTATCTGGTCAGTCCCCAGATTTGTCAACAAAACGAAGGCTTCTAAATAAATCCAACGAATTTATTAAAAGCATTGCTAGCCAAAAAATGTAGAATGGCTCCATCACAAAGCAAGTATCACAATGGATCATCCCAGCTCAGATTGACTACGCTTTTCAAGTTACACCTTTAAGAAAACATGATATCAATACACTTCAAACTTCATTCAACAAAGCAATAAAAAAGAAATTAAGTATAGAATGCACCCTATCAAATAGAGCCTACTTCTCATAAGCTGGTATTAACTCAACAGTCCTTAAGGATCGAAAGACAATTACACTGGTCAAGTTACTAACCACCATTCTAGTGAACAAGAAAACCACCCCCTTTATTCAATAAGAGATCTCATCAATCCAAATGAGCAGTGCAATCTGGCTATGTCCGGTCTGTCATCCTCAACATTTTGAACAATCCTGGATCACAGAAGTAGCCCAGATCGTAGCAGACTACAAAATAAACATCTGTCCAAATCCATGTCCCTTTACACACAAGGATGTATGGTTGTCCATAGGCCTCCACACTAAAATAAACAAGACAACAGCCCTACACTTATCAAGATACAACATCAAAACAGTCAGGCAAATTACACAATACAATAAATTCAACATAAATTTATGGAATGAACTCCATACAAAAACTGGACAAGTTATTCCTAGTCATATCCCCAGCTAGTACACTGACCTCAAAGAAAACTTCCCCACAACAACTGGCAACACACTATCTTTTCCTAATCCAAAACCTCTTTTAGGGGCTTTCAAAAACACAAACTACATAGAATTCATAAAAACGAGAAAGAACTACAACAATAAAGAAATAATCAGAGGACAACACTACATTGTAGATAAGAACACAAACCACCTTCACCAATGCCAATGTTCAATTCAACCTTGTATCAAAAGCAAACTAATCGAAACAGTAAAATCAATATGGCATAAGAAAAACAATAATCTTTTCTATCTTCTTAACAACCTAAATGAAGTTGACACATAACTTATTCCCAAACCCACTAGTAACGAAATAGTTCTAATTCAATTATGGCTAACAACTTTCCGAGCAAATACCTCCATCAGCATAATAGTAACTCAAAGAATAAATGGAATTGAAGTAGAGACAAACAACAGCTGTCAACTATTTCCACATACTTCTAGCTCCCATCACAAGTTATGGACCATCCTTAATAACACAATAGAAAATGCAACACCATACACCAATATAATGTGTTTCATGTCCAAACTCCCAAACATTAAGTTCACATTATACATCAACAAGAAAATCAAGGTTCAACATAACCACATAATTGAAAGATGTCTGAATCTAGCAAAAATCAAAAAAATCAACCTAACACACATCAAAATCGAAGGCAAGCTCACTCCATTGACCATCTCAATATATACAAGTCTACCTCCTACAAACCAACACAGTTTTCTACTTCACCACGTATTAATAACAAAATTGGATCCAGTATTACACATTGGATAAAATTTGTTAATTTATACATTAAACTCTTCTCAATAATATTAAGCAACAACTGCATATACAAACCCAACAACATCTCTGAATTTTTACAGTTAAAACAAGTCAATAAAAGCTGCTGAAAAATGGATAAATATAACTACAGAGCCTTAACCACCTTCAGAACAAAGCTTTTATTCAACTCATTACCCACAAGAGATATCTTATACTATACACAGATTCAAGATACCCTAGATGCGACCATATAAATGAAGATCAGCTCCATATCTTTAATTGTATTAAAAGCAGAGAAACAATAAAAAAAAAAACTATCCAAACTTAACAAAATTCTAAAAAAACAAAGTAGAAACCGTATACAAACCAACTCAACAACACTATCTGAATCAACAAAAGAAGACATCTTACTCAGTATCGCCATAGAAGAGCCCAACCAGTACCTAGAGTTATTATTCAGTAAAAAACTACAAATCCAATTGATGAATGCATTATTAAAAATTCTTTACAAAATTTGGAAACAAAAGATCTGCCACAGCCAATGCTTCACCTATCAGTAGAATCAAATGGAAAAAGACAAAAGCAACTAACAAACCCAATCAAGATATAAATAAAACAAATAACAACAATATTCCAAAAATAATTATCGAATTATCAAACTTACTAAATAACTCCACACAAAAATCTATATTTCTTCCCTCAATAATAACATCGTTTTTGAATAGGCATTAGCCATTTGATCCTATTTTGGTGAACCTGGATACTGTCCAGTAGGGTGGCATAATAGGAAAATTGCAATAGGCTATAGTTAATTTACTAATGTAAAGACTATTAATGTCATATTTAAGAATTAATTTTCTAATAAAAACTCACATTTAATACTCATTTGTGATAAAAAAAAAAAAAAATTTTTTTAAAAAGTAAATATTTATTAGAGTAAAATAAAAATAATTTTATTAAATATTTATATTATATCTTATTAATTTGTCATAAACGTAAAAAGTTTTTAAATTAGATCTTAAAAATAATATTTTATTATATAAAATAGAAGTATAAAAATATATAAATGTATATATAAGAAGAAAAAAAAATATATTAAAAATTTAGTTTTTTTAAAAAAATTAATTTTTAAAATCTCTTTTTAATAAAATAAATCTTATTAGGATATTTTTTTTATAGATGAGATAAAGAACTTACATCTTATTAGTTTTTTTATTATTATTTTTTGAACTATACCTTTTCAACTTATATTCTTAGATCTTATAATAGATACTTAAATTTTCAATTTATTTTATTTGAGAATTTATTATCTGAATTTTTATTAAATCAAAAAAAGTTAATTTCAATAGTTTCATTAATTAGAATAATGAAAATAAAAAGATTTATCTAAAAAATAATGATTTAAAAATATATTGCTTAAATATTTGATGAATTAAGAAAAACCAAAATATTAATTAACTTTTTCTTTTTTTAAAAATATTATTGAAATATACTGTATATAAAATAATTAATAAGAACTTGTTTATATTTAGTTATTATATATTTTATATTTATCAATTATATTTTACAATAAATTGTATTATCCAAAATTTAAGATTAAATTAAGATAAATAAAATTTTTTAGAAAATAAAAAAAAAAAAGATAACTATAAGAAAATAAAAAATAGTAATTGGATATATTAAAAATAAAACTTAATATTTATCATTAATATGAAAGATTTTAAATATTATACTATTGATTTTTTTTTTAAAAAAATTTTTCTTATTATTAATAGTAAATTTTAAGATCTTTAAAAATCAAATTTTTATTTGAAAAAGAGTGTTACCAAAAAAAAAAGAAAGAAGTAGAAATAATTCTTAAAGTTCTTCTCAAGTTGGTTTAAGAAAAATAATAAGATTTTATTAGTAAATAATCATAAAAACTTTTTGTAAATATTTTTTTATATGATTAGAGAATTATTTTTTAATTAAAAATTATAGGTTTTATATATATTATATTCTAATATTATTCTATTTTTTATATTTTTTAAAAAAATTTTTTTATAAATCATTTCAAAAGTTTTATTATTGTTACTTTTTTATTAACTATCATATAATTTATAGTAACAATCAATTAAAATTATTTAAAAATAAAAATTTGGCAAGAAAAATAATTTTTAATAATAATAAAACTTTAAAAAATTATATATGAAAAATTTTTGAAAAAAATATAAAAATTATAATTAGTATCAAGATATAATATATATGAATTTTATAATTTTTGATTACATAATTAAGAATTTAAAAATTGATAAAGTTAAAATTTATAATAAAATTATAGTAAGTGAACTCAAACTTTTGAAAACAATTGTATTTATCTTGGTGGAATAAGACATAAATAGTTTTGCTCTTTGTACTATTATATTCATCCTGGTTGTCCTTAAGTACAACTTTATTATAATAAAATGGTTCTCACACAGTGCAAGGATGAGCTAGCATAAAAAAAAAAAAGATTTTATGAATTATGATTTATTATTAAAATTTATATTATAAAAGAATTACATAAGATAAATAAACTCATTTAATTTGTAAACTAAATTAAATAATCTAATTTTATTTAGCTGAATAAAAGACAGAGAATGTCCGATGAATAACTTTAAATAGTAAAAGTCGTTATATTCAAGAAAACCATTAATATTGATGGCGTATTGCCAAGAGTTTTTTTAATAATTTAAACTCAATTTGGCATAACCAATGTTCTGGATACAGATCTTCAATAAACCTTTTTAAACATCTCGGCTCCAAAGTTATCATCACTAAACTGTGTGATAGACATCTTTGCCAGTGGTACGGAGTCGAGCGACGATCCTGTAGTCGACGTTGGGACTACTAGCACATAATCACCACTTTTTACGTTCGTCTTCCGGAGAATACTTCCAAAACTATTATTCTCCAAACCCTTTCCCTCATCAAACAAGTAGCGAAGCTCCTTTGAACCAATTGCTAATCCAATATTTTTCAAATCAAGACTTGTCATATTGGCACAATCAATCACCTCGACATCGTTAAAATAAACTTTATGGCCTCCGTCAGAGAGACCCCTTAGCCTTTGGTTATCGCGTTTTGAATATCCTTCGACCAAGATCAGTTGTGGTCTACCAATCAAGTTGCTCAATCTGATTTTTGCGTTATCGTGAAAGATTCTTATTATCTCGTTGAGCCGACGGATTTTGATGGTCCTAGGGACATCATCACTATAATTACGGTGGGCATGTGTTTTTTCTCGCATGCTGAATTAGGGTTTATATCAACATAATAGTTCGCAAACAGTTAATCCTTTAAGTCCGAATGCACGAATTCCCCAATTTTAAACCTCGCAATTACCTGTAAGCATACATAAAGGCCATATCAAATTTAACCTAGAGAACGGAGGAATTCGTGTAAACTCAACTTAGCAAAGAAAAAAAAAAAAATGCATTCACGTCGAGCAGAGACAATTGAGCTCATGTTGCTTAAAAAAACAACATACAATCTCCAGCAGACTCAAGGTATCCTGATGCTCTTCTTCGGTTTCTCCGCAAAAACCCGTGATAATGTCCGTGCTTAATGACACATTAGGTATCACATCTCTGATTGTATTCACGAGATCCAAGTAACTGCGCTCATGTGAAGTTTCAAATTATAAAGCGTTAAATAATGATTTTTCTGAGAGAAATTTGAAATGAAACTCACGCCTCGCGCGAATATCCTCTTCTCATCCTCCTCAACACGTTGGTGTTTCCGGATTGAACTGGCAGATGAATTTGGTTACAAATATTCGGACGTTCGGAAATTAATTTCAGTAATTCGATCGGAAAATCTTTTGGATGCGGCGAAGTAAATCTTATCCTCATCTTCAAAATAAAATCCATGATTTCTATACATCAATTAGTCACCTACGAAAAAGGAACAACATTATCTACATGTACCTCGGGATCAACCAGAGACACGTTGTCCAAAAGCTCGGTGAATCTGATCCCCCCTTCTTTCCTTCGATAAATAGTTTTAAATCCTTCATTGCTCAGCCCATCACCGATACCGTTTGGCTTATAAAATTCATATTCCTGTGTATCTCTGTATGAGTTCACATTTTGTCCAAGGAGTGTAACTATTGTTTGTTTCAACGAGGTTATGAAATTTCTTGCATAGCTTTCCAGAGACCAAGCACACACTGATTAACCCAAAACATCGGATCAAATGATTAAACTCTTTTACGCTAATGACCTTCTTTTACACCTTGCCTACTCAAAGATTTTACTTCCTCTATGATCGAAGGATACAAGGGTCTGCTTCTTTCAACACCTGAATCGAAGTTTTAATTAGTTGGTGAAATCATTCAAAGGAAAAATGTACACGTATATATATTCGAAAATTACCTCTGTAATATTTGACATGGATTAAATGAATAGTGAATGATAAATAGGCATTTTAATTTAGCGACAGATCTCTTCTCATTTACCTTGTATGTGGTACTATGCAAAATGAACACATATTATTGCAACCTCTACAAGTGAATTCAACAATTAGTTTCATTAAATGGTATAAGGTAGATAGATATGTTTCTCCTTAAAAGAAATGATTCAAACCTCATGATGCTTAGAAAGGCGCTGACATTTGTGTTATGCAATCTAACGGGGGTGATGTCCGCATAAGTCTCATCGGCCGATAACATAACGTTAGCAATGCCCTGTGAATTTTTAATTGCTAATGATAGCAGATGCGGTATTGATCGGTAGGCATCCGGTCCACATACGATGTCAACCAATTTGTCAGCGTCGAGAAGTTTCGTTTTTAACCTCTCTGCCATGCACTTTGAAAGCGAATCACAGGTTTTGCGTCAGAACGAATGAAGGGAGTAGATGGATGCTCAGTTAGGAGCCCCAATTGGTAATTGAATCTTTAAAAGCCTACCCCCAAAACACCGATCATAGGCCTTTTCCCTTTTTCCAGTCTAGAATTAATGCTTTTCAGCGTGTTCAATCTTTGCCAAATTTTATTTTCCGCCTTCTCCCTTATAGCACACTTGGTAATAGAAAATTGACGATTGAGAAGACACGAAGGTTTTTCAAATTACCATTTATTTCTTCGAAACAACGATAATTACCGTGACCAGGAAAATAATATCAGCCTCTTCAAATTTTTCGGTTCTCGAGTATCCGGAACTATTCATAATGGACATCAATATTTCTGTATCATTTACATTCATCTGGCATCCATAAACTTCCACGTAATATTTTGCGTTCTTCCCCAAACTAATGGCGTTCACATCTAAATACGGAATTTCATCGGGCACCGAACTTTCAGAACTCATGGAAGTCTGCGTCTGTTCCATTTCCTCTCGAGTTACAAAACCTACACCTGCAGCTGGCTTCCTTTTTGCCGAAGAAAGAGCCGCCGATTTTAAAAATTCCTCGAATGAAGGGGATTTATTGTCAAAAATTAAATGTCGCTTGGAATTCCTTGTTGTGGCTGGCTCGGTTGAGACACTTTGATGAACATATCGAAAACCTATAGATAGGTTTTCGTAGAAATTGTAACGAGCGCATATAAACTTGGAAGCTGTTCCACTTCTTGGGGAAAGGGTGGCGAAGGATTTTGCAAGAGATACCATCTTCAAAGATTCATCTCGCTTACGGTGATGGTGGTTGTGTCACCATTTTAACCCGTGATTTCCGATCAGCACAAAATCATGATATAGCAGTAGCGCGGAAATATCTGAATTGTACTGTCGATTATGGCGTACCCGACTGTTTCGGTCGCTCAGGTCGAACAAGTAATCGTCAATTTTAGTGATTCTTCTTTGCAAGAGATCTCATATTTTGATAATCTATAAACTTTGTTTTTTATTTAAGGTGATATCCCAACTTTATGGTGGTGCCAACGCGCAGTTTCAAAAGTCAGCGCAAGAATACATACAGAACTTTCAAAAGCAGGAATACGCATGGGAATTAGCTTCTCAATTATTAGCATCACAGGTTAGATCAGCGAAATATGAATTTCTTCGCAAAGGTGTCGCGCGAACAGAATAGTAGTATTCCTTCTTAATTTTAACCTTCTAGTCAATCAACTCGCAATTCATTGGAGCTCATACTTTTCAAGTCAAAATCTCTCGAGACTGGTAAATAGATAAGAAATGCTCAATTAATTCGGTCACTGGGATTGATCTGTAACTTTTACATTGGAAATGAAGGAACACTTTGACCGTGGAGAAAAAGAGATGGCTTCGTACCGAACTTCTTGGATGGATCGTGCGACTATCTAATGGCCCCGGCATGGTTATAACAAAGTTGTGCCTATCTGTAGGTTATTGAATTATTCGCTTGCCAACCAACCATCTTGAAATTGAATATATAATTATTATTATGCTTTAATTGCGCCTAGCTTACGGCTTATGCCCTACAAGCTGTACCGGATATATGGTCGAATTTCATAATGGATTTTTTCGAGACACTGCACTCGGCTTCAATTCAAAATTCTGGTCAACCAATGTTCGTGGAATTGCCTGTTCTGGAATTTCTAACCGTTGTTCCCGAGGAGGTGTTGAGAGCAGACCTTGTTGGGGAGCGAAAGTCAGTACTACCTGTCAATCTGAATACAGATATTATGGTACCTCGATTAAAAGAAGCATGGATTTTTTCTCTTACCGTAGGGCTAAAGTCAACCAAGAACTTATTGATGCAACTCCGAGAGTACTTTCAACCCTAAAATCATTGCTGTCGAGCCATCAAGCCCACCAAGAACGAGATGTTCAAATAAAGCAAAAATCCTTAAAGTGCCTACAAAGTTGGATATTATATGGTGTTCCATTTGAGTAACGTACTTGTTTCTTTTTGATTCGCCTTACGCATTTGGACTTTCTTTTTTCCTATTAATTAATTTACAAATGCAATGTTGCCAAATTGCACTTAGATCCCTGTACCCTCTGATCGATGACGTTATAAACCTTTTTCCAATTGAATCTACAAATGATCAGGCAACCGAGGTTCTCGTGGAATTTCTTTCACAACCTCGAATCACCTCGTATCAGAATACCGTATGCGGAAAGATGCTCGATTGTCTGACTAGCGAATGGGCGAAAACACAAATAATGACAGCTGTCAACGGTGTGATATTCATTTTCAGAATGTTTTGCATACTCTAATTGCATTCTGATTGTTGCCTATGATATTTACACCACAGATTCAAATGAGGCGCCGGCAAGAAATCTTTGTCGTTTGTTAACCACATTCGGTGACAGTTTTTCCGACTACATTGCCATTCATTTCCTGAGACAAGATGTTATGGTCTACCTTGAAATGATGTTAATGTTCGCGGGATTCCCAGGCTACTTTGCTAATGACCAAGAGATATCCTTTTTTTTTTTTTTAGACGTTGGAACTGTGAGGAGTGTGTTGAATGTAATTATTTCCCTAACAAAAATTCCACATTAGCGAAATGCCTTTGCAATTTTGGTATTTGCTACACGAGTCCTTGGTTGATTCCGACGTGATTCCGGTAAATGGTGGTGATGATAGTGATGGTGCGTCTTCTTCGATCACGCTTCAAGAGGCTCAAAAAATACGTGAAACATCAATCGTAGTCTTTCGAAGGCTATCGGAAATTCTGAGAAGCAAAGTGCAATATCCTCCAGATGACGAATGGTCGGAATGGCTGAAAGGTATTTGACGTCTTTAACTGGCCATGTGAACTAATGATGAGTATTTTTTATTAATATTCGCGACGAACTGTGTAGACGTCAAGGAGAGATTCAAGATTTACAGAAGGGATGTTGGAGACACACTAATGAATTCGTATTATATATTGCGAAATCAAATGTTGGCTTTTCTTGTGGACTTAGCGGCCATGCAATTAAACGCTCCGGGAAGAGACCCAAGTCTATGGCAGGTACAGTCTGTAGCAGAGTTCGGCGTGATCCTTATTATTGAACGCGTTGCTTACATTATTCTCTTTTCCCGTGATCAGGATTTGGAATCCACGTTGTTCTGCTTAAATTCAATAGCAGAGGCTGTCGATTATAAAGAGAATGTCTTTTTGCCTCGTTTGTTTGGTCCCGATGTGTTTGAGAAATTACCGACCCAAGGAAATTATCGTTTGAGGAATACAGCGTTGTCTCTGATCGGTATTTGATCACATTTTCGATATTTGTGATGGTAATTTATTTATTTATTTATGAGAGATTTCTCTTAAAAATTCACGATCATCACTTTTCCTTAGGCTCTTACGCGGAATGGCTTAAAAATCATCCAAGACAAATATTGTTCGCATTGAATTATATTGTGCCCGCCTTGGGTGATTCGGAGACAGCTTTTACGGCTTCCTTGTCGTTTAAAGAAGTATGCGATATTTGCCGGGATTCCCTGGTAAATGACATAGATGGCCTTATGCATATTTACGTGGTGGTGGGGCCTCACATTCAAGTAAGATTCTTTTCAGATTCGGAATTTTGAACTTTCCCTGTGAACCATACCGGATGAGACCAACTTATCTTTCTTTCTCTTTTCTTTTCTTTTCTTTTTTTTTTTAAGCCTAGGGAAAAACAAAAGGTCATCGAATCAATAGCGGATGTTATTCAAAAATTACCACCGGAAAAAATGATAGCTCCGCTATCGGTATGAAGGTTTTTTGTTATTTTATATGTGCAGATTTTGTCCATTTTACGGGTCACGTTTTTTTACCGTGATCTATCACAGGTTATCACAGATCAAATTATCCAGACACTACGCGAAGTTATAATGTTGGGAAAACAGGTTCTTGTTGCAGTCAAATCTCCATCAGTTTGCCCTGTTGCACCATTAAAGATCAATTTTTACCTCCATTAAAAAAAACAGAACCCTCCTCTGTATAAGGAGACGGTAATCACTCACCTCGAGTATCTGACCTGTTGTTGTCGTGGTATCCAACCACCAGACGATGAGGTAATTACCCTAGATGAAAATGAGCGGGATTCTCAAAATGGGGAGATTTCGATATCACAATCGAGACTTTCTGGTGCTTTATCAGATATTTCGAATATTGTCGCTGAAACATGGGATCAAGACGACGAAGTAATTGAGGTATTGACAAGCCTAATGGCGACTTAAACAGTATCATTGCTGTGATATTAAATTTAATGTCTTGTTTAGTGTCTATGCAAGTTTATCAACACCGGGGTTCGCACCACTGCGAATCTGCTCTCTATTCCATTTGAAGTGATCATTTCAATAGTACAAATCTCTTATCTAAGAAGTCCACATTCCTGCCTGTTAGATACTGCCGCTCAAGTTGTCACGGTATTCGGATCTAATAATAGATACAGCAATGATCTGAGAAATATGTTGGGCGAGATTACAACGATCACCATACAGCAATATGTGAGAAATCAATCAGTCATGGAACAATATCCTGATCTAGTAAATTCATACCTCGGGATCCTGACCAAAGTAACGAATTCATCAATATACCAAAATTGCTGTTGGAAATTTGTCATCTTACAAATCATCCCTCTTTCCAGTTCCTTCAAAAATGCCCGATACTGTTATATACTTTACCCTCGGAGTTATTCAGTAACATAATGAAATTTTCCATAGCAGGATTAGGTCTGCAAGAAAGGCTGGCACTAAAATCCGCGGTGGCCTTTATGGTGCGTCGAGTTCACTTAGGTGTCACTTTTGTTTACCTTGACAGTAATAATAGTTTTCTTTAAATTTTGAGTAGAGCGAGTTTGTAGGTCAACATTACGAGGATGAGCGATTGTCAAAAGGAATCGAGAGCGTCATAATGACGTACGGCATGGAAATTATGAGAGAATTGATCTCCGTGAGTTTAATAATTTTAATGTGTCCAAGTTGTGAAGTGATATTGACGTTCGTCAATTATTTTAAAATTTTGTCTTAGGGCATTGGCGGAAGATTGCCAAGATCATTCGTGATTTCATTGTCACACGTCCTATATAAAATGACCGGTCGTTACATAGAGGCTAGCCGAGAGTGGCTTAATTTGTTGTTAACTCAGGTTCGAGAACTGACTGGATAAATATCTGTTTGTATTCATGCGCCTGAACTTTTCTCAATTTATCTATTCAGAAAGATTTTCCGTCTCCGCACGTAGATCTAATCACTAAGCAAAATTTTGCTAAAGCGATATTAGGGTAAATGCCATGTTTAATATCGGAAATTTTCATGCATCTCACGTCTCACATTAATCGCTTTTTAATATCAGTACGAGATCTTTACAGAAGTACAAGGATTTTGTTACGGAATTCTCGATCAAATGTCGAGGTCTGGAAGATTCTGCGTACGGGCATGCCTGAGAATCCTATGGGACGGTCAACCTTAATATTTGAGTTGCATCCTGAAACTTTAATATAATATTCAAATAATTCTTAATTATAATCTCGGTAGTTGTGAAATGTGTACTATATATAGAACCTCTTGCTTATACAATTTATTCAATTTATTTAAAAAAAATTGCGTAATTGTTTACCTTTTAAAGTATATGAGTATATGCATATAAATTATTGGTTTATTGTTGGTCACGTGACAGAACATCGATTGCGTAACAATGCTATCACTATATAACTTTACACGAACGCAAATACCCCTTCATTGTTTTGAAAGGTTCTTCTTTAAATAATGGGCGTGAAAAATCTGTGGAGCCTGTTGGCGCCCGTCGCGAGGCCAACCACGCTAGAGTCTTTAAATCATGAGAGGCTCGCCATAGATATCCTTCAAATTTCTCAGAAGAAAGCATCCATTATTTTCGTGTTTGTAAATTTCTTAACGTGACATTTCCTGCCTCCCACATGCTAGCATATGGTTGTATCGATTTTTAAAAGCCATGCGCGATAAAGAAGGAAATGCATTGAAGAATGCACATATTCTGGGCTTTTTTCGCAGAATATGTAAACTTCTTTTTTTTAATATAAAGCCTGTTTTTGTGTTCGATGGTGGCGCCCCGGAACTGAAACGAACAACTTTGGTTAGTGTTCATTAACGAAAGTTTCTAACCGCATGACGTAAATTTGGGAAAGTTACAAGGTCAACAATAATTTCAGAAAGAAAGACGCAGGAGACGTGTTGGAAAAACAAACGATTTGCAAAAGACAGCAGAAAAAATCTTGGCTGCTCAATTGAAAATTCGAGCAATGCGTGATATTGAGGGATCAAAGTGAGCTTTTCTTTTTTTTTTAAAAAAAAAAATACTAAAAAATGTGCACATTAATATCCATAACAATAATTTTGAAGGTCCATTAAAGTCCAAGGAGACTCAAACGAGAAAGTTACGCCCGATGATGACACCTCATATTACGATGAGATAAAATTGAATCCTCAACGTAGAAAGAAGGATGAATACGATTTACCGCCTATTCCAGGAAGCATAGAGTATGTTGAAATAATATGCAATCGATGCACTATAAAAGGAAAAGGATTTTCCAAATGACTAATTCGACAAAGTTCCATGACAACGGAAGATGACCCTCGATTAGCGACAGCGGATGATCTTAGAAGGTATATCAAAAAATATAAAGTAAGATGTCATTACTTTCATTGACATAGCGTGAATACACTTATATTTTACACGGGACTCATTAAATATTTTGTTCGCAGCCCGATAACATCGACACGCATTCCGAAGCATTTCAATCGCTCCCCCTAGAGGTACAGTACGAGGTTGTCGGTGAACTTCGACTTAAAAGTAGATTGACGTCGACTGAGAGATACAAAGAAATGGTCGACAATTCTCCCATATCCTTTATTCAATCACAATATTACACCAAGTTTAGGATCATTATATTTGCAATTTAAATCTTAACAGCTAAACTTTACACCGCAATGGACTTTTCAAAGCTACAGATAAAAAATCTTGTTCGCAGAAATGAATTGACACAAAAAATGTTGGACGTCACAAATAACGCAAAAAATATCAAATCATCGCGAATAGCGTCAGAACGCAACCGGGAATATGTTTTGATGAAAAACGAAGGTACCGGATATACGATGATGACTAACCAAGGTTCACCATTTAATTACACGGGTAGCAAAGGGTTGGGCACTTTAGAAGAACCTTTGAATTTGATTGATAGTTCAGAATCCGAGGATGAATCCGAGCTTGAAACAGATGGAGAAGAAAGCGAAGTTGAAGAGGTTATGTTAAAGTAGGCAAAAATATGAATTAGCAGAAATTATATTTGATGGCACGCAGATCGGTTATTCAAAATTCCGCATTATTACTAACAGTCCGGAGGACGTGAATAACAAACCATCGTCTCCCCAATCATACATTGATAAACAAGAAGACGACTTCAGCACAAACGGTAAATACTTTCATTAGGACTTGATAATGAAGCTCTCCTCTAACCTGGTTATCGGATTAATTATAGATGTTGATGCGGGAAATTTGATGTTAAATTCAGATGCATATGTCGATGACGAAGAGACAATCGATTCGGTAATGGAAAAATTTCATACCTTGGAATCAAAAAAGAGAAGTGCATCTCTGATCTATATTTCTGATGATGATATGATGACTGGAGAACCAAATATGGATATTGACGATGTTAATGAATCTTTTGAGTCTTCTGAGCCAGAATTATTCTACGCTCTTTGGCTTTCGCAAGCTGTCCCCGAGTTTAAAAATGAATACGAGAACCATGAGGACATGATGCAGAAAGCTATATTTGAATGGGATGAAAGTGAAATTCAAGAACAAGACACTTTGGCATTAAAAAAGTTGGGAAAGATAAGGGAAGGTGATGATAAGAAGGAAGCGGCCTTAAATTTCTGGCTGAAATTTTTGCGAGCTGCCATTCAATTTAGAAAACCCTTTGAACCTCCCAATCAAGAGAGCGATGCGGATTCCACTCTCGAATATTCGGATAGACCTACTTCAAAAGCACAGTATAGAAGGTATAGTGTTTCCTCCGGAAGCGCTTCAGAGTCGGGGTCTGGATCCTCGAATTCAGATGACATTGAGGTATACGAGAAAGGTGAATTAAATCTTCAAGAACCTCCGCAATTCATTATCTCAAAAGTGTGTCGTGAGGTTAAATTGAGGAATATTAATTTTGACTCTATGATCCTACCTCAACATTTTGATCGCTACCTGCCAGATAGTAATAAAACTTGTTCATCAATATATGCGACATATTACTCGGAAAGACTGCCTGGTTATTTTATAACAGAAGGCATGGTTTCAAAAGATTATTCCAATACTTTGGATCAAGATGAATCTCTTTGTTCATCTGACAAAAATACGTTAGGAAAAAGTAAAGATTTGTTGAATAGCGAGAGAGATTCCAATCGTCTTGGTCATTCGGATCACCCAAATGTGATCAATTGTGAAGCTATCCAAATGATTGCATCACACATAGGAAAATCCGAAAAGTCCTCGTCCGAAATAGAAATCTCGTATTTGGAGAATAGTTCAGAATCAAATGAAGATTTTGTTGAAAGAATACTACCGGTGGACATTAACGCAGGTGAAAAAATGGAACCAGACGCGAATGATTTCGATCCTAGAATTCGTTCGGAATCCTCGCAAGTTGCCGAATCGTTTCGTGGCTTGAATTTTAGAGATGAAAATTCTAATCCATCATCATCCGTCGAATCCT